CTGATATGAATGTTGATGTACAAGTATCTGTTGAAATAGTGAGGATTTGTTTTTTCATTATTATAAACCTATTCAATAAATTTATACAATGTACAAATTAGTGGGTTAGCCAAAATATTTGTTTGTTTTTTTCTGTAGGTTGGCTTTAGTAGTGCTTAATTGTCTTTAACTTCATTCAAAACAATTTGGTCAGATTGTATTGTGACAGTGGTCATATCGGCATGCATTTAAAACAAACTTATCAAAATTGGTGAATTTTTGTGCAGCTATTTTAATATTGAAGATGGAAGAAAATAAGCAACGTTTTTGGAATATTATGTTTTATTACCTTTCAAGAAAGGTAAGAATGCAACTGAAATGCAAAAAGAAATTGTGCACCATAGGGAGAAGGTGCTGTGACTAATCAAGCATGTCAAAAGCAGTTTGCGAAGCTTTGTGCTGGAGATTTCTCCTTAGATGATACTCTACAAGCAGGTAGAACACTTGAAGTTGATAGCAATCAAATTGAGACATTAATTGAGAACAATCAACATTATACCACGGGGGGGATAGCCAACATGCTCAAAACATCCAAATCAATAGAGCTATTGGTGAAAATGAAAAACTTGTCTTTTATTTTACGGAGAAAAGTAAACGGACTTTTTGGCCAACCCAATAATAGCAGTGAAAATGTTGCTTCATTGGAAAACTCCCACTCAAGATCTTTGAATAAGGAAAAAAGTCTCTTTGTTTCAGTCATTATTTTCTGAAACTTTGAAAACTGCTTTTCTTGCATTAAGAAAACAATTTAGATATTCATACTATATTAGAACTTGTCATCATTTAATGTATCAAGTATTACCTTTTGTTTATCACTACCTTTTCAACCTCTTCACCCACTGCTCTCTTCAGAATATAAATTCCATGAGAACATAGATTTCTTTTGGGGGGGTTGTGTTTTGTTTACTGCTGTATTCTTTATGCCTAGAACTTGTCCTGCTACAGAGTAGGCAGTCAGTCAGACCTGATGAGTGAATGAATGGTGCTCGAATGTTATTCACCTCTACGTTTACTGTATAGCATTTTAAAAGGCTTTAGATTTGGCTTCTTTTGAACATTTGCATATTTGTTTTCTGGTAGAGCAGTCTACTACAAGGGTACATTGGTAAGTGTTATAGAGCTTATAAATAGTTGGTATGAAAAATAATTATGTTGTATTGGGAGATGTAAAAAGATAGAGATGGGCTAGAGAAAACACACTCATGGAATTTTGTCTCCCTTTAATTTGACTGCATTATTCTCACAGTGGAATTGTATAAAACATTAAAAAACTCATACTTTGATAACCTGGACTTAGAAAGGAATAATAAAGAACACTTTGACTATAATGGTGGAGGTTAAATGACCCAATTATCATGAAAAAGAAACAAACTAAATCATCATTTTCCAAAATAAGAACACTTCACTCTTTCCTCTCAATTCTCTATTAATTTGTATTGTAGTCGATCTAGACACTACTTTAGTGGAGTCTCAGTCTTTGTCTGAGACACAAATTAGAGTTCTTAAAATAGCAAGAGCTTTAAAACCTTACTATAAGATAGGGGACCTGGTCTATTTTCTTGTAAGGAAGGAAACTTGACTCTGAGAGGTGAGATGACGTCCGGAAGCCTTTTTTAGACTCTGTCTTTGTTGTAGTCATTTTCCTTGTCTTAGATTTTAGTAAGGATATAATCTCAGTTCCAGTCAGAAAGGGGGATCACAATGCCAGGTGTCAAATCCACCAATCAATCCTTTCCTTAATTGCTGAAGTTTGACATGTCCCCATGTTTGCCCCAGAAAACTAAACATTCTTCTTATCAGCAATAGGGTAATTAAATTTCCTATGAAGATAAATTCACTTCCAATTATAAAAGAAATAGAAACACCACCAGCAAGAGAGAGGGGAAATGTAGGCGGAGGGAGCAGGAGTGGAGACCAATCCTCTTGTTCTAACTCAAAACTTTCAAAAAGTATTTTTTTTACTTTTTCCCTTCTCTAGATTTTCTACACATTTTTCTTTCCTGTTTGAACTGACCATGTAGTTTTTGCTTCTCTGAAGTGTGGATTTTGGTCAGCAATCTAATTAAAGCGGAAGAGGTCAAAATAGATTATTGAAATGAAGAGTGTCATTTAAGTCATGCAGCTATTATATTTGGGCAACTCTTAAAAACCAAGGAAAAACCCTTCAGGGGGATTGAAAACATTGTTTCAAATAAAAGACTTACAAAAAGTATAACATAAAAGGATGTGAATTGGCTTAGAGTAAAAAGACATTAATAGAGTAAGAAAGGAAAAGAAAATAATATATTTTGTAGATAAGTCAATTTCATGGCCTTGTGCCTCATATTTTATACTGACAGTGGTTTTGAAGCTTAATATCTTCCTCGTGTCTAAAATTGGTGATTGCAAACTCTGCTTTTTCACATAAACCAGCCTCACCTCATCCTCAGCCTGTCTCCAATGATCTCAGAAGTGCTAAAACAATCTCCAAATAAGTTTAATTTTGATTAAAAATATATTTAGATATCCAACTTATTTTTTTGTTTTATGGAAAGGGAGAATGAGGCGGAGAAGACAAAACTGTAGAGTGAAAGATTAGTATCCTCAGCTAAGTCTTAAGTTCACCAGTTAAAACACCTTGTACACAATGCCGAGAAAAACTATTGGCTTGCCTTGTATTTCATTCACACTGCTCCTTATGCACAGGGAAGACCAGAGGTCTGGTTTCCATAATATCAGGCTTTTCCCTTAGTACTTTACAATTTATTTTTTGAAGTTTGGAAAAAAAATTGCAGATCTTTCTGAAGCTTAGCATTTTAGAGTTTAATAATTTCATATACTAGAAGTGCTTCAGCAGAAAATAAGCTTTGACAATTTATAGATTTGCAACAATCCAAGTTAGGCTGTGGAAACAATTCTTGAAATGGCCCTTATTTTGAAAACCACATTATTCTAAAAATCTAAATTATGAATTGATAATTTTCATGAAGAATAAATAGTAGGCATGATGTAGCATATGGAGGAAGGACTAAATAAGGGTGGGATGGTATGAATAAATGACATTTCTTTTTTCCTCTGCTTCCTACTAATTGTGTACAAAATATATATATATATATATATTAAATATGGTATTTTGCCTCTCCTTAAGAAAACAATATTTGGAAATTCCTATATAAAGCTAATATGCCATGAGGACTATGAAAACATTTAGTGGGGTATCCATGTCCCTATGGAAATTAAACACACATACACATACTATGTGGTGCAATCTGTTCCAGTCTATAGGGAGGGGAAGGGTGGAGAAAGCTTTCTGGGGATCAGGAATAAAGTCATCTCTGGGAGTTTTTAAGGTATTAAATAGAAATGGGAGAAATGATACAGCTAAAACCTAGAAAAAACTTCCCTTTTGCCCTAAATCCTAACCCAGAATATATTAAATTTACGCATTCTTTGAAAACTATTTAGCAAGTTAGTGTAGGGGAAAAAAATTCTGAACCTTTTTTGAGATGGTTAAATTGCCATTCATTTTGTATTTTAATCTAACCTACTGGTGACTTAATTTACAGAACTCAAAGGAAGTGTATGCTCAAATATTTGAGGACGTTAACGTATCAACCACTGTTTAATTTGGGAATGTGCATACTTGCTTGACACAATATTTTACCATCTCAACAAATGTTTAGCCTTTTTTTCACTTGACTAAAGAGAAATAAGTTTCACATTGCTTCATTCACCTTCTTATGTGCATATGCTGGGAAAGATTGGATGTTAAAAAAAAAAACTTCCTCATGTTCCTTTCTACTACATCTAAATCTGTTTACCAATTCAAAGCTGCTAAAAAGCACTGCATTCTCCTGCTAAATCAACTGGATGGCTAGAAACCAAACTGTAATGTAACAGGGAAAAAAATTATCAATTTTTTTCATGACAGAACATTCTTAAGAAGGTATATAAATTTTCTTCTGGTCTCTATGCCAGTTTTCTTTTTTCTTCTTTTTTCTGAGTTCCTTTTTTAAAGGCTCTCAGCCTTTAAGCTGATACTCTTTATAGTTATGTAACAGTTCTAATATTTTGTGACATTTTGTATTGTGACACCATAGATGAAATTGTCATAGGATTGACACTCTGCTGTTTATTCCTTAATTACAACTGTTAAAACTGTAGAGAAGTATGCTAATCTGCCAGCACATATTATGAAAACATTATTGTTATCCACACCAACACCCACTCAACAGGGTATTTCCAAGGTAGTTATCAAGAAAGTTATCAACACAATGGATACTTCAATATAATTTGTTTTAGTTCTCCTATCATCTTCTTTCAAAAACACAAACCAGTTTGAGCATAAAATCTTTCATTGTAACATTAGCATAGACTCCCTTATCAGTAGGAACTGCCTCTATAGTTAGAGAAGTTATCATTTTTTTGACTGTTCAAAAAGCAGTACACTGAGGAATCTCAAAGCTGTTTAGGGTTGTGACCCAAAGCTTTCTGACTGACAGCTGTTTCAGAAATAATGAAAATAGAAGGGAGAGGGAAGGGCAAGTTTAAAGATAAAAAGATGAGAGAGGAGTTATTTGCACTCACAGGGTTGGCAAGTCAAAATCCAAGAACCATCCCCAGCTTTAATACGTACCCTTTTTCAGAGTCAGTCAGAGCCCTGCTGAAACTGGCTACTTATCAAATGCTTTATAGTTCAGTTCTTTCCTACAGAACTTGTAGAGGTTTACCTCTGGGGAAGAAAATCCTCTATTTTCTAATAAGTATTACTATAGTAAAGCAGTTAAATGTCACTGTCTTTTCATTTGTTAAAAGAAACTAAAAGAGTGACCAAACAACCACGTTGATCCTGTGCTTGTTCCCATAATAAAATAACTGAAAAGCAAAGGTTCTACAAAATGAAAATCAGGACTAACAGGTGGTATTCACTGTTCAAATGAGAATGACTAAATGATTTTTTTAAAACAACACACAATGCTCCTTTAGCAATTTATTGAATAAACAGTCCACCTTTCCTTATTAGTTTTTAATACTTGCATGAGTTTGATAGAAAGTGAGTTCATGGCCTTGAAATAGCAGTAGGTCTCTAAGGGATAACCCAAGACTTGCCAGTAGATTTTCATGTTGTTGTCATTGAGGAATTAATGGGACAATATGAATATATTTGACTCCTAAAATTCCTGCAATGACCTGCATATTCTTTAATATTCAGCTGTACTAAACAGGTGTTTTTTTAAAAATAATATGTGAAGAAGTTATCACTGTGCCTTGTTTCGAATGGTATTTTCTGCTTCATTTTGATTTTCAACACCAATAGGATATGGTGCTCTTCCTAAAAGAAACTGTTCCCATTTGGGAATGTATTCTTCCACGGATGCCCAGTAGAGAGTCTGGAAGAAAAAAGCCCAGAGTAAAAAAACATATCAAGCAATTGAACTTGGCTCTTCATAATAGTCTAAATGTTTATTCACTTAAATGTGTGCGTGTGTGTGTGTACACACACACACACATATATGTAGAATGCACTTCCTTTACAGAATATTTTATGTTAATTTTAGAAAAAAAAATCTGGCTACTTACTAGTGTTAATTTTCAAATTTCTCAGTAAAACCAGGGCCTGGCAGAATTTCAGGTTTCAGAATTTTATTGTGATTTTACACGCCCTCTTGTGGCCAACCTTATGATTATTACCAATATCATTTATGGCCTCAGTCATTAAATGTGTTTTTGTTTAATGTTCCAAATCCCATACCAAATGATTACCCACACTAAAATTATTACAATAAAATCATTAGTCATGAACTGCTTCAGGTGAATTAGCCCCTTATTTCATGAGGAAAACATTAAAAAAATGCATCCACTCTTTTAACAGAGAACTTGATAAGACAAATTTTCATTTATTCCCTTTTGTTTTGTATAATGAGAAAGTAATATCAAGATTACCTACCTAACCATTTTTAAATTCAAATAACTTAGAAGTCTAGGTGCTGTATTATTGCCCTGACTCTAGCAGTCTGTAAGTTATAGAAGCTCTTGCAGCATCACCACCGTATCGTATATACAAGCTACAATGGCTTCTTGGGTGACTGCCCCACAGAGGCCAAAGAAAAGTAACCTGCCAAAAGCTCTGCGTCACAGGAGGAAACTTTGCATTACATCATCACTAACAATCTCCTTTTGGGAAATTCAGCCAAAGAGTTAGCATTAAGAACACATAATGATTCACTCTGATCATTAAAAAGGTACAGGGGTTCTGAAAGCTGGAAATGGTGAGAGATTCTACATATCTCTGCATCTGTGTATGTGGTCTGAGAAAGAGCCTGACATACTGAAAATAAAGGTCATCCTGCTGTGCAAGACTAGCTAAGAAAAATACCACTCGAAGCCTGTGGTGGGGAATTTCTCAACCATTCACGGCTGGATTAACCCCTATTGTGTGGGCCCTGTACGGGCCAGAGTAAGGTATTGGAGAATTCAACAAAGAAAGAGACATGCCCAGGGCACAACTTTGTACCAGAGCTTTTTTTTTCCTTGATCACTGGCTTTTCTTATTACTCTAGATGACACAGAAAATTGAGGGGCAAATTCTCAGCCTTTAAATTTGAGAATTTAAATTTCTCAGTTTAGGCATTTAGTTCTGGTTAGGCAGCAAGCAAAATTGTATTTGAAAAAGGTCATTAAAAATATCAAATCAAACTATTCTATATGTAGTAAATTCCCTCTCATCAAAAATACATTCATATGCCAACTATGGTTTGGTTTATTTTTGCCAACCATCTTCCCAATCTGTTCTTGAAGTGAGCAAAATAAAACAGATAAAAGCCACATTATACTGCATGAAATACATTTAAATAGCATTGGTTGAATTTTTGGTGAAGGGCTAAACCGCTTGCTATGTCTAACATCAGCCAACAGGAAAAAAGCACTTTGGTTAGGCATATTGCCAACTTAATATTTAGTGCATATTTTCTGTTAGAGTTTAACAGGATAGTTGTTTCTAAGTGACTAAGTGAAAAGACACAATCTTTATACAATTTTCACTTGATCAAATTTTTGTTGAAACCAAGATACTCATTACCTACTATGTACAAAGTATGGCTCTGCAGACATATAAAGTTATCAGACACCTCTTGTTTATTTTAGTTAAAAAAATTAATCTTGGAAATACAGACATATAATCACTATATAATTTGCAATGATAGGGTCTCTTCCTTTACCATCGTTCCTTAAGATTCTCACCTCAAGAGAAGTTACCTCAGGCGGTAGAAATGGGTGAATCTGGGCCTCTATAAGCTTTTCTGCTGCTTCTATATCCTGCAACAGACATCAACATGTAAAAACAAAATATATTTATATAGCACACACAAATGACACCTGTAATATACAGTTATATCAATATCCCAGATCTCTCCCCTCCGCTGTTCTCTGGATACAGTTTGAACTGACAGAGGGGCACTGAGGTAGGAGAACTGGTTATTGCCTAATTAACCAGTTCAAATAGAGAATGCAGGGCTTCTGATTTTAAAATAAAAGGTGGGGGTGGTACTTCTAAGTTCTGCATTACTTTAAATAGTGTCAATATTTCTTGCAAAAAAAAAAAAAAGAACCTTCCTCTAAAACTGTTCAGAGTGCCAACTTAGCTCCAAAATCATTAAAAACAGTCAGATGGATAAAAGAGTCAAACATTCAGATACTAAAAACAGTCATATACCCAGACCCATACTGTGCTATTCTTAAAAGTCAAGAGATTGAGTCTGTCCAGATCATGTAAATGATATATTAATGACACATTTCATTTGTTCGATATTCCACTTTTAAATTTTATGCTTATGCCAATACTCCTAATACTTAAAAGAAGGTCAGTAAGGTACCTCACTACTTTACAACTCTTGTTGTAAAGTATACTTTATATTTTACACTATTCTTTTCACTATACTCTGTAGATTTTTAGTACTAGATTTCTAAGGTAACCTCAATGACAAGTTTTATTGCTAGGTAGGATGTTATTTAGTTGATGGCATTCAAGCACTGAGCTTTAATCTGGAGCTTAACTTGTAGATGTGTGTATTTTCTCTTATGATTATAGCAACACAAGGGTAATTAAATGTAATTCATACTCTGGGAAAGACTTTACCTTGATGCAGACATTAAATTCGTGCCCAGAAACATTTGAGTTCTGTTTAAATTAATGCTCCCAAATCAGCACCTATGTTGTCTTGTGCTTGCTTATGTTTGTCAGGTTCACAGAGGCCTTGGTTGAAGACCGTGTAAATTTTGTCTCTCCTTTGAGCTTTGTGATTTGAGAAAAAAAAAGAAGAAAGCATTGGAGCAATTTCAGTACAGGGCTGTTGGACAGACGGAGGGAGATGGAAAAGGGCGTGGGAGAGGGGTGTGAAGAAGCCAATGCTGAACAGGAGAAAAGAGACAGCAGATGGCAGCGCGGGGAGCACGGGATGGGTGTGAAATGTAAGAGGGAAAAACAGGAAATTCCCTAAAGGGACTCCCCAAAGTTGCACAGCTATTAATGCACCTGCTGTCTAGAGGAAGGTGATTTGAAGGGGAAAAACATCAATTTAGGGATAAAAAGCCCATCTATTAGCATGTTGGTCCCATCCCAGAAGTTTACATCAGAGACACGTGCTAAAAAGCTTTTGATGCCGACACTACAGCAGAGAGAGAAGAGTAACTGTTCTATTACACTGAGATTTTACCAAGTTCTGGAAAATTTATTTCTTACTTTATAAAACAAATAGAATAAAATCGCAACTCAGATTATACCATTATTCAGAGAATAGTCACAAAGTTATTGTTAATGGTAGATCTAGGTGTCACTAGTACCTGTAGACAAGACTATAAACATTTTTACTTTTTTAAAATGATTTTTTAATCCTCACCTGAGAATATTTTTATTGATTTGAGAGACAGAGAGACACGTTAATCAATTGCCTCCCGTATGCATCCTGACCAGGGATCAAACCCATAACCTAGGTATGTGCCCTGACCAGGGATTGGACCTGCAACTTTTGGTGTACTGGACAGTGTGCCAAGTAACTGAGCCACCCAGACAGGGCAACATTTTTCTTAAAGATCAGAAAATAAGTATACTAAATTTCTCTTATAGAAAAGCAGATACAGGTGGAGACATGTGGCCTGGCAAAGCAGACCTGTGCTTAGTAACTTGACTGTCACCTCTGCAGCATTTCCACAGGAGGTTATCACTCCAGAGGACTCCTTCCTGAAGTGATGTTTCACTTCCATAGATGTTTTGCTTACCTCTCTGAATTCTTGTCTTCCTCCTTAGCTGGCTCCTTTGTTTCTCTTTTATCCTAACTTTGGGCTTTCTTAAGATTTGTGACATCTGTCGTTTTCTTTTTACTTTTTCTCCCTCCAAAATTGTCTCTTCTTTAGCTTCCCGTAGTCATGAAGAAGGATGGATAACTTTTCTTCCTAGCCCTTATTTATCAGCCTAATAAAACTACACTCATCATCTTGCTACTGAATGTACTTAATGTATAATAGTGGGAATTCTATTCACCTAGATACCCTCTATCTTCAACCTTTCTTATTCCCTACCATTTAAAAGTTCGAAGCTTCAGGATGTTTCCTCTGCCTTTCCATGCCATTCCCAATGCTATGGCCTTATTACTGCACTTACTCATTTGACAAATATTTCTTGAATACTTACTTGAACTTATGCCTAGACTCTCTCTCATTTTACTTCAATCCATACCGAACATGGAATTGATTAGTTTTGCTAAAAACTACTTCAAATAGGTCCTTACTTAGATTTAAAAATAATAACTGATTTCCACTACACAGAAGATAAAGTATGAATTCCTTAGCTTGTCTGAAAAATTTGATTATACACTGCCAGAAGGAAAGGACTAGTTATTACATTTGAAACAGCATGTTATGTGTGATGAAATTACTTTTAATAACATTTTATTTAATCTATTTCATTTCATTTTAGTAAGTGTTTACTAGAAAATTTAAAATTACATATGTGGCTTACATTATATTTCTGTTGCACAACACAACTTAGATTTATCAATTCATAGGAATTCTGGGAACCAGAAGAACATACCAAATGATACCTCAGCTGTGTAATTAGCAATATCCAGACTCTGGGAAAGTCTACAGGACAAATGATCCAATTCCTTCAAAAAAGAAATTAAAAGGGCAGGGGAGACTTAGATATTCAGGACTCCTATCAGTCAATTACAGACTGGATTTTATTTGGATCCTGATCCAAACAATGTAAAAATATGTTTATTTAAGTTAATCAGGAAAATTTGAATCCTGATTGGATATTTGAGGAGTTACCATAAATTTCTTAGATTGATAATGATACTATGATTTTTCTTGAAATAGTCCGTATCTTTTAGTGATAAATACTGAAATAGTATAGAGATAATATACTGAACTATTTACAGTTGAAACAATGCGATATTAAAGATTAACTTCAAAATAATCTGAAGGGTTGGAGGTGAGGAGTATGGATGAAACATTATTGGCCATGTTTTGGTAATTATTAAATCTTGGTGATAAGCACATGGAAGTACACTCTTCTATTCCCTCTTCTACACAGTTTTGAAGTTTTTTATAACAATTAAAAAAACAAGTGTCTAGTGTGTATGATGGTGTAAATGTTACACAATGGCAGAATTCAGCAGCCTGTATATATGAGCTGACTCATGATTAGGACAGGTAAAACACAAGCACAAAAACTCGTGGACTGAGATCTCCTTCTTCCCCCTCCCCCCACACAACCCTGCCTCCCAGCCCAGCAATATACCTCCCAGTAAATGTATACAGTAAACTCAGCTACGGCTGGGCTGTGTTTAAGCTTTTAATCTGCCGGAGGTGCAATTTCTGGGATGAAAAAACCAAGATACTAAAGCATGAGGTACAGCGTCATTAATACAAGGAACGCTTAAACATTCATTAAACTTATTCTTCATTGAATTGGAGAAAGTGAGAGATGTGAGGAGGAAAGAGAAGAGACATGGGCCTGTAAGTGACTGGCCATCCGGGGTGGCAGGCAGTTTGTTGAAGGCTCTAACGGCCAGTTTCCCTGTGAAGGCTTCCAGGACATGCCTCCGTGGGAGCCCTCAGTGCATCCCTAATGTGCCACAGCACGTCCCATTCATTCTCCCCCTGGAGTGTTTGTCCACCTTCCTCACGAGATGACCTTCATTACCACAAAACTGCCTCTTTTTTGGGTAAAACTAAGTTTTGTGGGGATAAAAGTGGGTGAGATGACAGTTCACATTACAGAAATGTTTATTGAAACAAAATCCTTTTTTTCTCTTACAAATCCAGACCAATTATGCTTATGTTTTTAAAAGGCAAATAAATTTCATTTTATTAATACTAACAGGGAAAAAAAATCACTCAGTCTGTTTTCAAAGTCCACTATCTGTTATAGTATTTACTATGAAATCCTCACTGTGAGTTTTCTTGTTCATTCTTTTACTAATAAGTTTGAATCTTTTATGGGGTTAGTCCCTTCTTTATTCCTCCTCTTTTAAAAATATTCTATGATGTTCTTGCTAATTTATTTTTGCAAATGCATTTAGAGAAATTTTTTATTGGGTTTGATACACATTCTGTTGGAATTTTATAAATCTAAAAATAATTTTGTGAGAACTGACTTTAGAAAAGTAATACTCCCTATTCAGGATTAAGGCATGTATCTCCACTTAAATTTTCTTATCAATCTACTAATGAAATGTAACGATTTTTTTTTTTACAAAACATGCATATCCTTTGTTAAGAGCACTCCCAAGCATTTTATAATTTAATTGCTAATGTGAAAGTGATCTCTTATATTTGCCAGCTGAGCTGTATCTGTAGTATTGCTATTGATATGTTTACCATTTATCCATTAATTTTGTTCAACTCAAAATATACTAGTTTTAAAACAATTTTGGCTTTTCTCAGTATATAACCATACCATTTAAAAATGCTAGTGCTGTATCTTCCTTTCCAAAAGTTAAAGCTCATTCCCTTTTAGTGTTTATTATATTAGCCAAAGCTTCTAAGTAAGACCAAATATTGGTTGGAGATGTAAGTCATCCTTGTTTTGCTTCTACTGTCTTTATAGTAATGCTTCCAAGTTTTAATGGAACCATTTTGAAGCACATTCTGCACTGAAGTACATATTCTGATGTAACTCAACCTGTTCTTGACAAGGGGTATTAGGAATAGTTATTATGGTTTCCTCGTTTTTAAATTAAGGAATTAGAGCAGATTAGTGGTTTTCCCAGTTCCTTAGAGCCACAGCAGGTAGGCAAAGAAGGGCTGAATGGGCGGAGCTTTGGACCAAAGATACCCACTTTAACGTATTTTACATCTTTGAAAAAATTTCTATGCTAAAAATATTTGAAAACCTTCAGATGACAATCTAATCTAATCTGTATGCCTTTAAAAGTATTTCCCTATTCAAAATTCTGTACTTAAGTCCTATTTATTTTATTTTCACAATAATTTCTATAATAAAGCCATTAAAATTATTTCCAAAGTTAAAAACTATGAGAGAAAGCAGGATAAAAGTTTCATACATTTTCATCCAAAACATTTAAAACAAAGTCTGGGAAGAGACAGCATCTGTATCTGGGTTGTAACAAGTACTCAATAAATGTATATTAAAGATTGTGATGAAATACACAAAAATATATTAATTCCCACATGGGCTTAAAGAAGGATAAAGAAGTTATTTCATCTTCTTTGCTCTTTCAAGTTTTCTGCAGTGAGAATATATTACTTTGAAAATCAGGAGAAAAATACCATATCATGCTGGTTTCTGATGACTATGAAACAGTTCATTATTTTCCTTCTAGATATGACAGTTATTTTACACTTCTATTAAATCCAGTCTCTCCATTCTTGAAATGACTTTGCATCTAAATAGCAAATGAATCCTTTTTAAACACCCTCTCATATGTTTCTTACAAAAGTCTTTATTTTTCTTTTGCCCAAACACTTTCAGTACTGTATTACCTCTACATAAAGTCTCAGCTTACTCGGAGACCTCACAATACATATCCAACCTTTTCCTGTGACTTTCAAAGCCGGTTAGCTCATAGTCCCATGAACATGAATAGCGCTCTTCTGTAACAATCCAGCAGAATGCTTTGCCTTCTGCCTATTCAAACACAGCTCCAGCTTAGCTTCCTCCCTGAGACCTCTTAGAACATTTGAGCTCTCAAAGATTTTTTTTAACACTTACTCCTAGAATATGAGTGCTGAGTATTCCACACAACTTAATGTTTAATCATATAAAGTGTCATATTTCGTGTGTGACAACCTTATGTCATCAACCAAGCCTGCTAGCTACTTAGGTAAAGAGATCTGACCTATGATTATTTTGTGGTACCCACTTTCTAACCAGAACTAGCTCAACAGTAAGGACGCCCTAGGCATTCATCACATATTTGCTTATTAAAAGATGCTTGGAAACCAAATATTACCTGCCCTTGCTGGAGGTAAGTAGCAACCAAGACTTCAAGCCTTCTAATTTCATTTTCCTGACTTGCCACAGCAAATTCCAGATTATCCTATATATTTCCATTTAAAAATAAATATTGCAAACACCATTGGGCAAGTAAGACATATGGCAATATAGAATGCTTTGGTAGCACTATGGCTGTGACTTAAATTACTGTGGCTCAAACTGCCAGAAGCTGAGAAGATAACTGAATTTTCTCTTCCTTTATCCTCTAGTGAGGACAGAAGATAACTATATCATGCCTATCGATGAAAATATTTAACAATAAAAACTGAAAACACTGCTTTATAACTTAAATAATATAGCCTTACTACCAAATGTTTTAGTCATAGGATCTCTTGGAAGCTTGACTAGAAGCAAACTTTTAGGGTTTTAATTATGGATGAAGCCATACAATTCTGGAAGCAAAGCATAGCAAGCAGCCAAAAATGTTACACATATGATTTTACTCCAAGTGGGCACATTGGCCAAATGGTGAGGCCCTGCGTAATCACACACTTTGACCGCCTCCTCCATCACTATCAAAAGGGATCTTGAAAATCTGTTATCTTACATATGAATTCTGTGTATTCATTGTGGCCCCACTAAGGCAAAATCAAATTTTTCTCATTTTTATGAAGTTAAATAGTTTTGAGTTACATATAAATATGTTACAGGTACTTTATGGTATTTTAAAATCTCCCTACAAAGCAAAGATGGAAAGATGGAAAGCTACAGCTTGTATTTATTAATTTTTTGCATAAAATATGACCTTAAAATTCCTTCTGTAGTTTCTTATTTTTCTGGTTGATTCAAAACATTTAGTTTAAGCAAAGTTCACTTTTTTTTTTCATTTAAAAAATGGGATTCCAAATGCTACCTATCTAACTATATGGGTCTAAGAAAGCAGACAATGTTTTATTAATTCTACTTATTACTTAAAACAAAGACATTACATGTATCAAATTATTAAATTCACTTAAAGCCTTTTGCAAAGATGGAAAAAATCTTTATACTCAGGTCTTGGAAACTTACCTTTAAAAGGTTAAGGTTCCTTTTAAATGCAGTCTCAGATGCTTGAATCTGAGATGCCTTTTCCTTGTTTAGATCTCCAAATTTACTCTTCATTTGTTGAAGTAAATTTAATCTTTGTGATACTCTAGAAAAAATTAAGATTATCATATATAATGTTTTTTAAAAAGGAGACATTTTATTGCTTGGCCAATATAAAATATTCATTTCTTAATCATACTTCAACCTATTTTGAAAGCCAATTAATAAGACTGAAAAACTTAGGTAGTTCAATGTCTTAAATCTGGATAAAATTATTTTTATTTTAATTAACATATACCGTAGGTACATGCTTCTGTCCTTTTTAGCCTCCTTGGTCTTCTAAAATTACTTTAAAATTACTTTAAAGTGTTCAAAATATATTTCAATTTTTTGGTAAAAATTCAAACTGTAATAAACGTTCCTTTGTATACATACTTATATATACCTCCACACACACATACATTGATATAACTTGCTATACAAAACCTTCTGCTTAACACTTCAATACCCCTGAATCTCATGTTACACATTTAGAATTGTGCTAAACTGCCATATGTCTGAAGAAGCAATAAAAAATATTTTTTCCTTCTTCTAAGAGAAAGATGATGGTTCCATAGATGAGTGAAGAGGTTATGTGTACATATGCAAACTCACCACAAGGTAAACCTGTAGCTGAAGAAAGAGGTAAAAAGTTGTAAGTGAATTATCAAACTACTTTGTCATATAGAATATATTTTAAAAGTTTCTCACTGGTCCAATACTCATTTTACAAGTTTTTGGTCCTCTTAAATGATTAATAAATAAATATGTCAAATGATAAAAAAATATATAAGTAGTATATATAACAGTCTAATCATTCCCCAAATAGTTGTGGAGATTCTCAAGAAACACTGTTCCATAGGACTATTATTGAGGGTAGAACTAAACTTTAATATTTGAACAGTCATTCTTGTAAATAAAATATCTTAAAAGACCAAAGAAGAGGGCCTGGTGATTAATCAGAGAAAAGGAAAACATGATAGCCCACAGTGAGAGATGGAGAAGGGTTAATATAAAATATAAATGCAAGACTGGCTATATAATTGCAGGGCCTAGTGAAAAATGAAAATATGAGGTCCCTTATTCAAAAGTATTAGGAATTTCAAGAGTACAACATTACAGCATTAAACCAAGTGCAGAGCCTGTGGCTGCACAGGTCACATGCCCATGAAGCTGGCCCAGGGTAAGAGGCTTAGAGAAGTCCATTAAATATTAGTGTGCACCCTAGAAAGGGTGAGAGAAGGGTGAAATTGTCCATATACTAGTTACAAAAGTAAAAACATATAGAACATAACTATTTCAATCTTTGTTATTCTTAAGGATAATGACATTCCCTTAGACCAAAAAATCAAGTGTCAGAAAATTCAAGTAACACACTTTCAGATTTTTAAGTCTTCTTGTCTCCACAATGTTTCACTAATAAAGTCAGCACAATTTATATATTTACATTAGCCTTTTAAAAAAACTTACATTTCTTCATGTCTTTTAGACAGGTGAATTTCTTGAGCAAACAAGGAGGTCATCTTTAGTTAAAGCTGCCTTATAAGGTTTCTGCTAAATAGTTAAAACATTTAGAGTTATTTCTACCATGTCCTCAGCTTTGCAATATTTGATCATTTTAGTACCTCAAGCCATTAGTTCTCTCAGAAGAGAAAAATAAAACTGGAGATGTAATACTGTATAAAATGAAATTATGCATTTAAAAACACTTATTTACAATGCACAATTTTTCTTATGCCAAATACATCTAAGAATACTGTGAATCAGGTATATTCAACACATATCACATTTCCCCTCTTTTCTTTCCACATTTTAACCTTAAACAATTCAAAACAAACAAGCAGCTGGTACTAAGACTAGTAAACACTTTATTTTATTGAATCAATAGAAAGAAAAATATTTACTCTGTAACCTAACACAGGAACACCATCCCTCATGCATGTGTGCGCACACACACATAGAAAGGCAAACAAGTATGAGAACCAACTGGAAACTCATGGTCTTCCTTTATTGGAAGATTGCCCAGTTCTACCATCTCTTTTCCAAATAGGATAGTGATTTCTTACGTGTAACTGTGGGGGAAAGCACCATTGGTCCTCACACCTTACCTGACTGCTAAGGACTCTCATTTGGGAAGTTTGGGAAGCCCATTAACATGGCACATGAGCAAGCTCACCTTGGCGGAAGAGCCTGGGCCAACGCCGAGGTTGCTCTAAATTTAGGATTGGACCCTGAATGCCAATCATCTGATTGGGTGCGAAAGTTGAAATTGGCTGCCCTAAGGGAGAAAAGTCAGGAATGAAATTCCTTTCTGGAATGAAGTACTGGCTTTCCTAAATTTTGTGAATTGAAACCATGATTGCGGATTGCCAAAGTGTCCAGCGCTGATGGAGAGACTGAGCTCTAGCCGCAGAATTGCAACCACCACCCCTGCCCTCATCGGGTTTCCTCCCCCCTTCCGTCTTGTCTTCAGCACCGAGGACAGCAATCACTCGCACTGTTTCCCCCTCCTCACGCCCACCCACAACAGTCGAGTTAGGGATATTTTCCGCTAAAATCACTGCAGGCCAATCCTCACTGCCTTCTTCCCATTTTCCAGTGCAGTGTCAAGGAAATCCTGGAAAGTTGGTCCATGGTGACTTCTTTATTTGAAGTGTTAAAGTCCTGCCATCAACACTACAAACAAATCCCACAACGAATTCGGCCTTCTGAAACGAAGATCCTGACCGTATCAGAGTCATCAGCCCTCCAACCACCCCAGGTCCCGCTTCCATTCAGAGGATTCGTAAACTTCCTTCCTCACCCCAGCTCTCACCCCCGAACAACATTATCCCTACCGGCCATGCAAGCACCTGCGCCGCCTGGGAAAGTCAAGCACCCACCAGCGCTGCGGTGCTGTGGGACCTCACTCACCACGCCCCATTCTGACCTCTTCCGGAAAAGCGCTTGAGTCTGCGCAGAGGCTGTGTCTCAGCGCAGGCCTGGGCGTGGCTACGCCCGCCTTTTCGGCTCTGCGACTCGAAGTGACGTATTGACGACGTTATAAACGGCCGCCCTCTGGCGCACAAGGTGAGGTGGGACTTCCCAGAGGAGGGGTCTGGAGTTGGTTGCTGAGAACCCTGAATTTGGTCGTAGCTCAATTTCAAAGCAGTTTGAAAGGGGGCCTGAATATGTTCAAAACGCTTCAGAGAGTGAAGCTGATTTCTTAGAAGCTAAAATGTCACAGTAGAATGTGGATGTGAGGAAAAACTCTTCCAAATAGTCCAACTTGTTTGAATGGACTTTACAGTCTGTGAAAGCATCTTTGACGAGTTTCAGCCTGGGTGCCCCATACTGAGCAGAGAGATGGAGCCCCTGCCGACGTGTAGCTCGCACACCCAAAGGGACAGTGATATGGGTCGTTCACGTCTTGAGTCTGTGTGCCAGTTGCTGTGTTTACGTGGATTAGGTTATTCATCGAATCCCCCACTATGCCTGGTGAGACAGGCACTATTATCCTTACTGGAAAGAAGAAAAAAACTTGATTATTTAGGTCATGAATTGAAGCCAGTAGAGCCTTCATTAAATTTCCCGTTGCCCTCAGGACACACACTTGGGAATCATCCGTTAGTGCTGTAAAGTGTGTTCTCAAACACCCTTTTCCCTCTGGAAATAACTTTGTGAGATACATGATACCATCCGTAATTACAGAGGAAGACACTGAGATTCCAGAGAAGTAAAATTGTTTTCTTTCTAAAGGTTTCTGAGTTGGTAAAAGGCAAAGAGCTAGGTCTTCAGCCCAGGGATCTTATATCCTCTTTCTCCCAAATTATCTACGTAAAATTTAGCTCCTGCTTGGGGACTAGAGCACTTCATAGTTCCTTTGCTTGGAAAGCCCCTTTCCCCGATATTTACATAGGCTCAGTTTCCTGTCTTTCAATGCTGTTTCCTCAAATAAGCATCCCTTCAACCTTCAATGTAAGACTACAGGTCCCACCTCTTCTATGCCTGCCTTGCTCTGCTTTGTTTTTCTCCACAATACAGCACCATTCCACATATTTTATAGACACTTGTTCATTTTTTTTATTCAGTGCACCCCCTACTAGAATGTGAATGACCTAAAAACAATTAATTTTAAGAGAAAATTTGGATCTTTACCTTTTATTTACTTAAATTAAATCTAACAGCATGACACTGGCTAATAAAATTACCTAGGTTTCAAGTGTAAAATTCTATGCTACATCATCTGCATATTGCGTTGTGTGCTCATCACCCAAAGTGAAATCTTCCATCTTTATATATTTGACCCCCTTTACTCGCCACACAACCCCCTTTCCCTCCGGTATCAACATACTGTTGTCTGTGGAATCTCTCTCTCTCTCTCTCTTTCTCTCTCTCAACATCAGTCTGTGAGATACATCAATCTGTAGCCTCTTGCACACCCCAACCTAGGGACCTGGCCTACAATCCAGGCTTGTGCCCAGACCAGGAATCAAACCAGCAACTTTTCAGTTCACAGACTGGTACTCAACCCACTGAGCCACGCCAGCCAGGATATTTTTGTCTCTTTTATTTGCTGCCATGTCCTCAGCAACTCGAACTGCCTCGCATACAAGTTCTCCATAAATATTTTTTGAAAGACAGATGAAATAATTCCCCAATAGAAATTTCATCATAAAGTTGGAGAGGTCTGTCTTGAGGTCATAGGAACTTTGACCTAGCTGTCCCACAGTTTTACTTAGTAAAGATGAAAAATAGAGGTTACAAGACATTCTTGTTCAAAGTTTATGTAACTTTACACATAAGGATTTTTCTGAAGTTGGTAGTGGGTTATATGAAATAGAGAACTGAAAAAAATGCACATTAAAGATTTGTATGTTGCTTAAAACAAACTTTGCTCACCTCCCTGCTTTGGAAATTTTCATTCAGGTTTTAGAAGAATGCTAGTCAGGAATATCTCACAGACACTTAGAGATTATCTACATACTTGTAGACAGTGATGATTTTATAGCCTCTCAGAAAATTACTTATTCTCTACATAAAGATCTGCTGTGATAGCTCCTCTCTCCGTGTCATAACCCACAGTTGAGCCTTTCTGTGAGACTTCTTCTAGGGAAGAAGACTCTCTGGAAATTGCAGACTATTACCATACAGCTTCTGTATTTATTAGGTAAATTTAGGTACTTCCTGGGGTGAGGTATTCATGGTCTATTCTGCAAATTATTGCAATCTTCTAGGTAACACCTGACCCCTATAATGGAGCAGTCTGTAAATGTGTAACAAAGTTAATGTTTCCTAATCCTGGACTAATTCTGTGCACCAGCTGGCCATCATTCTCCCCTTAGCCTCATTATTTAGAAAGTCTGTGTCATTTAGTCATACATTCTATAAGGATATGCTTATTAAACATCTTTAGGATGTAGTCTCTGTCCTCAAGAGTGTAGAATCTGTCTGGGCTCTTAAGGTATTAAAAAAAAAAAAGCTACAGGATGACAGCTGACCACATAAAAATGACTAATATTTATTGCATGCTCATTCTGTACTAGGCACTTTGCATGAATTGCCTTGTCTAATCCTCTAACAACCCTGTGGGCAATGGTACTAAACTCACACTATCCTCATTTTTATAGCTGAGAAAACAGAGGCTTGAAGAAATAACTTAAGATCACACTGCTAGTAAATGAACCCCAGCTTGCTGGATGTTAGTAGTCAAGTAATTATGTATGTTATATTGAGAATATGCAATTAAAAAGTATCATGCAGACTATGAGGGTACTGGAGAAGAAAAAGAGCACTATGATTTGGAATTGTCTAGATAGCGTTTTAGAAGATTGGGAGATGAATTTTGAAAACTGGGGGGGATTTAAAGGTCTGGTTGGTTTTGGGGTTTTTTTGGGGGGGGTTGGTTGTTTTTTTTTTTTTGTAACTGGGTATATCAGAGCAGGAGAGTGGAATGTGGTCTTCTAAGTGAAGGAGGCAGCATACACAGAAGTGTGTGCATGAGACTATATCTGCGGTGAGGGCCAGTAGAAAGGAAGCATTGAGAAGAATGTTTTCTACTCATTTCCCTCAGTTTTGGAGATTTCATTTCTGGTGTCAGAGAACTTTCAAATAGAGGTTTGACAGTAATAAGGAGAAGGAATTATTGGAGAAAGTGAGACTCGTGAGAAAAGAAATAAGAAAAGAGAAAAAAGATGTGAGGATTAAAATGGAAGGACAAGCTTTATAGAATTAGAAATAAAAAGAATTTCAGAATTTTTGACAATCTCAGTAACTCCAAATTACTACCAGTAAATTCTCTTGTAGTTTATAGAGTCTTTTTTATGGAGTAGTTTTAGATCTCCTTTTACTTTGGGTAGATAACTACTAAGAAAATAAAAAACTCATGCCTGAGATTTCTGGTCAAGATGGAGGCGTAGGTAGACATGCTTCACTTTCTTGTGCAACCACAGAGAGAATTACAACTAAACCTCAAAACAAATAACACCTGGAACTGTGAGAAAATCAAACTGTATGGAAGCCTGACAACCAAGGATTTAAAGAAACCACATTTATGCAGAGACATAGGAGGAGCAGAGATGCAGAGACAGGGTGGAGAGATGAGGAAAAGCAGTATGGTGTGTAAAGGCAACAGCAGTGGTGGAATGGGTGGTCCCACATTCACGTGTGATGGATAAAAATCAGGAGGGATACCTTGGGAGCAAGCGATCCCAGACCGAGACCAGACTGCACAGCCCAGGGTTCCAGCACTGGGAAGATAAATCCCCAAAGCTTCTGGCTGTAAAAACCAGTGGTGGTGGAAGAAACTGCCAGATATTCAGGAGACTCCACTTAAAAGGCCTCCATGGTTTTAGAATGCATGCAAACCCACCCACTCTGAGACTAAGCACCAGGGCCCCAGTTTCATACGGGGAGTGGGTGAAGTGACTGAAAATGGATTGAGTACCTGGCAAATCCTCAGAAGCCAGGCAGCAGCACAGTCCCCTTCTTAAGCCCTCCCCTGACACAGCCACAAACAGGTAAAGTGGGTTGCCCCACCCTGGCGATTATCTGATACTCTGCCCCACACAATTTACAGGTGCCTTTTCTACAATAGACCTTTCTACTAAAACAGGGAGTCAAAACAGCTGTACCTAATACATAGAAATAAACACAGGGAGGCTACCAACATGAGGAGACAAAGAAATATGGCCCAAATGAAAGAACAGAACAAAACCCCAGAAAAAGAACTAAAGATTCTTTTAAACAGACATAGCTAACCTATCAGATGTAGAGTTCAAAACACTGGTGATGAGGATGCTCAGAGAACTCAGGAGTAAAGTAAAAGCAGAAGGGAAGAAATGAAGACTACTCTAAGTAAAATAAAGAAAAATCCACAGAGAACCAACAGTGAAGGGAGGGAAGCCGGGATAAAAATCATGATTTGGAACATAAGAAAGAAATAAACATTCAACCAGAACTGAAAGAAGGACAAGAA